CATTCCCACCCCCAATGGGGACTGGAATCCCCAACGGAGAAACAGGGATTTCATTCTCTTTTAATATGAAAACTTTCACATATGGAAAAACTCCAAATTTCAATTTTGCCAACATTAGTTTAACGATTTTATAAAATATAAAAATACCCATAGATTGCATAAAAAATATAAATAAATTTTTTACCAAGTTTAAATACATACATGAAAAATCAAGTAGAAAAATAAAAAGAGAAAGAAAATTATACACGAGTTTAAATTAGATAAAAGAAAAAGAAAAAGTATAATTCCAACAAAGTAATTACTAATGACTTAGGTTACTTGGATCAAATTTTATCTATTGTAAATTATACTATAAATATACATTTTGTATTATATATATATATATATATATATATATATATATATATATATATATATATATATATATATATATATATATCAGGAGCGGGTCCAAGGTCGGGGATTAGGGGTATCCCCATCCCCACATTTTTATTCGAGGATTCCCCATCTCCGGTCAATTTGGGGATTCCCCAGTCAAGACGGGTGCAGGTTTTGGGTTCCCCATCGGGTATGGGATTTTTGCCATCCCCTATTTGGCAGATCTGATTTTCCTAAAATTTATTCTCTGTACTTGGAGGATATTTTATTTCGATGCTATTCTAACCTTTTGGCAGGCTAATCTAAATTCTCGTGGTGTGACTGCATCGAGAGTTTTGGTTAGAGATTTTGCCCAACTAAGTTTTGTGGAGTTGGTGATCTGAATCGAGTATAACTATCTGACCTAGAAGTTTCTTGTTATGAATCATACTTGATAAGTCTGCAAGTTAATAGATGATAAGTATTTTATATTCTAGGAAGTTATCTTGTTTCCGTTTTTAATTTTGGTAATTAGGATATTTTATTATTTGAGTCGATTTTAAAGTCTTTGTTTCTTGATTCTGAGTCTTTTGTTTATCCCTATTTAAAGGGTAGTCATTCATGAAATAAAATAGATTAGTTTAGTCTCCTGCAAACAGGAGGCTAGGTTACAAGGAGTGCACAGCTTCTTCAAGCACTAGCATTGGTCCTGTCACGAGGTCTAGATCCCGGGTCATAACATTTCTTTTGCCACCATACTGTAATTTTAAACTAAAAATCACTTTGATACATACGACGATGAGACTTAAATATGTTTGTCAAAAACTACCATAACTGTCCTGTCTGTCCAGGTCTTGTAGTTAAACGATGAGCACAGGATGTGTAGAAGACCTTTGTCAAAGCAAACTTGCAGTGTAATCTTACCATTTGTCAACATAATTAGGAAATATCATATGAATTCTTTCCCTACAGATAGAGCAAAACCTTTTTCAAAGGATCATTTCCCCAAAACAACAAATCAGAATGCAAACGAGTTGTTTTATTCACAAACATTCAATTAAACCCCAATTTAACAAGGGTTCATGCATCTCATATTCCCCTTCAGTTATTAGATAACTTATGCTTATGTCTAGTTAACACAGTTCTTCCAATCCTAAGCAGATTTAATATCCTAAACGGATTTTATAGAATAAACCCAAAAAACAACTCTAATTTATGGAATCAATTAAAAAAATGCCAATTCAAACAAAAACGCACCGCTCAACATCAAAACTCAAATTTTAAATAAATAAATAAACAGAGAAACATCATTCAAACAAAAAATGTAGAAAATAATCGAGATTGAAAAAACAAAGAAGATAATAGAGATGATTGAGAAGGACTACCTGAAATGGTCCGAAAACTTACCTAACGGAAGACCGAGGCGAGAACGACGAAGACATCGCGGGACAGCGATGGAAGATGGAGAAGAATAGACCATGTGGATAGAAGTGAACGCGCTGACGAAGCAAAAGGCCGTAAAACCCTTCTTCTTTTTTTTTCGTATTTTTTGCTAATTCATAATCTCTTTGCAGCCTTTTTTTCTTTAACGTTAGATGTTGTTTTTTTCTTTTTTTCCGGTTTAATTAAGAATTTGTTTGGTTGTTCATTTAAAAATTCATTATAAATTTATTGAATTCTTAAAAAGTCAATAACTTTAAAAAAAATGTTTGACTATCTAAAATGGTACTTTTAAAACTTTTTTTTTTTACCCTTTGAAAATGAGTTTTCAAAAATTGTGACTTTTTGAATGATTTATAAGTTATTAGGATAAAAAAAAAAAAAAAACAAAAGAAAATGATTTGCGAGGGTAATTACTTTTTCGTCGTGTTTACGTTTAGTTAACTTCGTTTTTTTACTCATTTGATCATTTTAACAAGTTAGATGGTTAAATATATAAAAAAATGAAGTTACCTAAATGTGAAAAAAAATGACAAATTTCTTAAGATTTTTTATAATTTCTTACAACATTTTTATGATATTATTTTCCTATAGGTTTTCTAATATAATGTTTTAAACTTTGTTTATAATTTTTCTAAAACTTATTTTTATACTTTCATATCATTTTAATACAAGTGCTTTTAAACCAAATATTTTAAATTTTTCTTAAGAGTTTTTAACTTGTTTTTTTTTACATTTTCATACAAATTTTCTATAACTTTCATACATTTATTTATAAACTTTCTTTTACAACATTTTTAAAGTGTTTTATAGAATTTAAAATACTTTCGTTAAATACTAGTTTAAAACGTTGTATTAAAAAAATTAAAAGTTTATAAACTTCTGATTAAAAAGTATTAAAATTTTGGAATAATTTTAAAACATTTACATTATATAGATTTTTTATTTGATAAGTAATATTTTCTTTTTATTTTTTTAAAAGACCCTCCATATTTATTGTTACATATTTAATTTTATTGTTAGATACTATTTACTTTAAAAATATTGTATATGTTTAAAAACAAAAGGAAAAAATTATAAGAGGCTATATAAAATATTTCACAAAACAAAAAACATATTTGTTAATTAGAAAGTAAATTTTAAAATTGATCAATATTTAATTAATATTTAGGAAATTATGAATATTTTAAAAATAATGTTTGGAAAAAAATAATACAAAAAATATGAAAAATAAAATCGCGATTAAAAGTGGGAAAAATGATTTATCATGGTAATTAATTTTTTGTTTTGTTCACATTTAGACAACTTTCTTTTTTTGTACACATTTAATCATTTAACTTGTTAATTTGTTCACATATTACCATTGTCACCTGTTATAGCTGGTGACAATGACAATATGTGAACACATATAACAAGTTAAATTGTCAAATGTGTATAAAAATAAAGAAATTATCTAAATATGAACAAAACGACAAAGATGATTACCCTGGTAAGTTATTTTCCCAACAAACAAAAGACAATTTTAAACCTATCACTTTTTAACTTATTAGCTTATTAATTTTTGCCACTAAAAAGCTAATCCAAACATTTTTTTAAAACTTTTTTCCCCACCTTCATAAGTCAATTCATTTTTAGTAAAAGTCGTTTTTAACTTCAAAATAAAATCCCAAATACCCTCTAAAATCTTAAGTTCATCTGACGAAATGTTAAATATGTTAGATGTTGTTCTTCTTTTTCTGGTTTCATTAAAAACTTAAGTTCGGTATAAATGTTTACTTTACCGAGTAAACCTACATAATAATTAAAAAAAAAAAAAAAAAAAAAAAAAAGAGGTTGTAAACCTCATGCTTTAATAAACCGGAAAATATGCAAAAAGGTACAAATCTAATATTTATACCAAATTTAAAGACTTTTCTGGCATTTGGGCAAAATCAAATGCATAACAACATAAGTCCTCCCACATTGTGTTTTAGACATCAACATTTTCTTTGTATACGTCGAAGGAACAAGAGTAAATTACAATAGCAATCTATAACTTTAGTAAACTACGAATGGTCTTTATGGTTTGGAATATGCATTGATCGGTTTCTAACTTTATTTTTTCCAATTAGAGAGTACTTAAAGTTTGATTTTGTTTTGATTTGCTCCAGATTTCGTTAAAGAACTCAAGAACTTAAACCAAAAATTTACAGTTTTATGAAGACCTCGAGAACTCAAACATGGGTTTCTTTCTATATCTTCTATATTTATCATTTCAAACGCATCCAACAGACACATCATTACTCAGCAGAAATTAGAAATAACCATATTCGAATAGGTTTTGAAATCATTTAGGTTTTCTTTATGTTCTAATTGGGGTTTGTGAAACGGTTTTCAAGATTCGAGTTAGGGTTTCTTGTTGTTTGAGTTAGGGTTTCAATTAAAGGATTTGCAAGTCTATGAAGTTTTTTAGTTAGAGTTCATAGGGTTCTTGTCTTTGAGTTCATATGATTCTTGTTTTCATCTGATTTTGGGTTTTTAACATTTCCAGAAAAAAGATTTTATGATTTCTAGAAAAAGGTTCGGTGTTTATTATGTTCATCAAATCATTGGAAAAGAAAAGAAAGAGAGAGAAGATAATCGTCGGAAAGGGGTTTCACCGGAAAATTGAATTTGGCCAAAGGAGATGATCGGAAAAATCATCCTTAACTGAAAAACTCATGTTTGGCCGGAAACCGACAAAACCCACTATTATGAGTCATATTGGTACTTTGTGAACGATTTCAAAAGATTCACACGTAAATTAAACACAAAATAATAATAATAATAATAATAATAATAATAATAATAATAATAATAATAATAAATCAATAAATAAAATTTGGTAACTAAACATGTACAACAATCAAAGTTGATTATCATTTCAAGTCGTTATCTCTAAACATTAAAAATAACGGTTAAAAATGCAAAAGGAATAGGTAAAGACCATAAAGGAAAAGTAAGGGATCAAATTCATAACTAATATCAAAAATCTTGGCCAAAACTATAAAAGGAAAAAAAAAAAAAAATAAGGGACCATAAAATAAAAATAAAAGACCAAACTTGTTATAACAATTAAAAGGTTAGTCCAAAATTGTAAAAAGAAAAAATAAAATGTGAGATGTCGGCAAATGTATGGAATAAATATTATTCATCAAATCGTTTTTCAAAGTTATATAAGACCTTCAGGTATATTGAGCATGAGGCTCGTCGTGGTCGACGTGGCTACGAACAACGGCCGTACACACTATCTCCATCCTTCGTGGTTGCTCGTTGTCGTGGAGGATCGTGGTAACCACCACATTTGACCACGAACTCTTCTCTTTGCATTCTTTCTCCTTCTTGTCTTCTTTATTGCTTTGAACACGATCTCCTCTCGTGCACACTATCCCGGTTGCAAGTGGAAGAGTTGTGGTGGTGACCTGGAGGTGGAAGGTGGAAGACAGTGGTGGTTGTGAAGACCATTCCAGATGGCCTAATTCCGATCGTCCCAAAAAAAATATATACAATATCATTTACACTTATATTGTAGATTCATGTTGTTATAATCCAAATTGGTTGTAATTGTAATAAAATTATACCCTCTGTCGTTCTAGTGAAAACTGGTCTAGAATCTAAACATTTTTTTTTTGCAAGATAAGAAAGAACAACTTACACTACGTTTGACCGACATACATTGGATTTCCAAAGAAACTAATATCAATTGAAAAAAAAAAAAAAAAAAGATATATATTTTTCCTCACCCAAAGAGGTGAAGCACAATGGGATAAGAACTGTTCTTGATATTCTTAATCATCATCACGGTCACATTTCTTCATTAATTAACGAATCCAAGAACGCATCATCAGCAGAGTAGCTAAGAATCTCATCTTCTTTATTTTCATCTTTGTTGGAATTAGGGTTTGAGATGATTTCATTGGAATTTGGCAAACCCACTTCCGGTTGTTCCATCGAACAAGATATATGAACAAAATTCTGATAATTAGGGTTTGAAGAAGATGATGATAATGGTTTATGAGTTCTTGGATCAATCCCTTGACTAATCAACTTCTTACTAAGATTCGTGTTCCAATAGTTCTTTATCTCATTATCTGTTCTCCCGGGAATTCTTCCCGCTATCAAAGCCCACCTTATAATCATATTATTTGTCAATTATTATCAAATCCAATAAAACCATCAACAAAACTTTTTTTAAAAAAATAAAATAAATATATGCATCTACAAGATTATATTACCGGTTTCCAAGAAGGCGGTGGAGGCGGAGGATGAGGTCTTCTTCCTCCAGTGAGATGCCGCCTCGTTTGACAGAAGGACGGAGGTAGTTCATCCACCGGAGGCGGCAGCTCTTCCCACACCGCCGGAGCCCCGCCTTCTTAGGCAGTGTCCGCCACCTCCCTCCACCTTCTCTCTTAATATAACTTGATAAAATCTCATCTTCTTCAGGCGTCCATGGCCCTTTCTTCATCACTATCTCCACCATCTTTCCCATTATTATTTTTGCAAGAATACGAAACAGAAAATTACTTCAAAATCTTCACCCAAAATATGTATTTAGTGATGAATCAAAATGTGGCGTACAAGTATTGAATTGTTGTAATAAAACTACATAAATGTTTTACCCTAATGATCCATAGTTTTAATTTCGTTCCTATAAATATTATTCTATTTCAAGTAATGGGCTAAATTGAGAAGTTCCCAAACAGAGACACCATATCAGTTTACTACAGAAATCTTGATGTGTTTGTATTTTTGGTCTGTGTTGAAGCTTCTAGCACTCTCTTCCACACCCTTTGACAAAAGTTCTTTTAATGCAACAACTCCCTCTTTCAAACCAACATCAATCTTGCAAAACCAACAAAAAAAAACGATTTTTTTAGGTAAAATGTGTTTAACTGAGGTAAATGGTGTTTAAATGAATAAAATGTTACTCGTTCTTGAGCTGTTGCGTTGAATTTCTGAAGCAAGAAGGCTTTAGGATCCATCTGACCAGGAGGCTTCCCAATGCCTGTGTACATACAAAAGGGTAAAAACGGAAATCAACTATGGGAAAATATGAATCTAGGAAACTAAAACTTTTATTAAAAGAATTTAATGAATGATAAATACCAATTCTTAAACGTGCAAACTCACGATTCCCACGGAAATGATGGATCACACTCTTCATCCTGACACAAAGAAATTCAAACATGGTGAATTCCTATTTGCATATCTTATTAAGCCTTTGATTTTATAATCAAGAATCAAGATAAATAATGATATTGCAGTAAGAGAAAGAAAAGTTCATATTTTTTGATACCCATTATGGCTCCCATGGCCTCCCTTGGGTTGAAGCCGAAGAACCCCACATGGTAAATCCATGTCATCATGGAACTACAGCAACAAGAAGCAAAACAGTTGCATGAAAACAAAAAATGTCAAAAGAAGGAAGAAGAATGATGTTCAAGTTATGATGGAGATTTCAGATCATACCACCAGGACTCGATTTAGAGGTAATTTGTAGTAGGCAGCAAGTGGGCCACTCTGCAGATAAGAAAATGTATCAATGTGGAAACAATAAGAAGTAAATACTTTAACAGAATTGAATCCTAAGCAAGAACTCACCGATTCACCACTCAAATTCATATATGTTTGAGGTTTTGCGAGTAAAACAGGAACACCATCTACAATGCCTGATACGTCATACCCCCAAATTAAACGGATTCCCCGTTAGTTATGCACGATTACACCCAAATCATATGATAATTTCTAAAGAAACAACAAACAAAATTATAAATTGAGAGGAGCTGACAAGCCTTTTCCGAAAATCGCTTTACAGAAAACTGTATCCATATCGATCCCTTGCGACTCCGCGAAAGTATCAATCATGTTAAACCCGACCTAATTTCTCAAAGATGCAACAAATTAGGAGGAAAAATCCAGCATACTAAGGTTCAATTGTGATGGGGTTAATTTAGCGACGTTTTTTCTCCAAATTCGAACGGTGATTTCCTTGTTTGAATTTGAATTGGTGTTGATAGGTGTTACAAAGTTAAGGAAAAACAATTAGGGTTTTCAGAGATAACGTACATTGTGTCTTGTTCCTTTAAATTTGTCCCCTGGATTGCCCAAGCCAACGAACAGCCATGGACGCGGTGATTGAATTGCAGTACAGAAGCGGCGATTGAAATAGAGTTTGCTTAGCATCTCCCAGTGACTGTGTTTAGCAGCGGCCGAGGATCATTCGAAGTTTTAACTTTTACGATTCAAGAGGTTTAGAGTGTTTCATAATAATCCCTCCAACCATAAAGAAATTGAAATTAGGCCACCAAACTTTCATTTATGATATTTTCATCCAAAATAAAAGAATACTAATAAATTTGTTTGATAATTAAAGTGAGAATGTCATTTATTAGTACAAAAGTTTCATTCTATCTAATTATCTAAAAAATGAAACAGTCCAACCATTCAATTAGTATATGTTTTTCGTCTAGTTTTTATGTTTCTTGAAAACAAAGTTTACAATGTATATGTTTTTTTTGGTAAACCATAAAATAAAAAATATTTATTTATAGCATTTCAACTAAAATAAAACTCATTCATTGTCTGGCATTCCAAATCAAAACCCTCCATTTTTTTTTTGGGTAAATGGTCATGTGACAGTGACAATTATCACACAAAACGAACCTAAAATGAAGATAAATAAGTTTGAGTTGAGTTTTAACTCCTCAGCCTGTTTATTATGGTTGTGTTGGAGTTTACATATAATGTGATATTTAGACTTTTTTCCCATGACCCACGATCCCGATTCTGACCCACGAACCCCTATAATTAAATAGGTTACGTGATTCGTGTCTAGGTTTTGCTTCTCCGGGTTAGGGTTGAGCAAGACGACATGAATATTTATATTTGTCGAGTCTAGGTTGAGCTTCCTAATCCGCCCCCACCGATCCGCCAACCTGCTACCCATCAACCTAAACACAACATGATTTTCACCCCTACCTAGTATGTACTTGATAGTCTCACGTGTACATCTCATGTCAAAATGTGCCTTGATGTAACTCTGAAGTGATATAGATGGCTCCATATTAATTCTTGTATGAGAGGAAATATATAAATCAAACATGTTGGTTAAAGGCGGGATATAAATTTTTGCAGGACAGATTTTGTACAATAGATGATGGATAAATATAAGATTAAATGAGAATGAATGATGATGGATAAAGATCGACAAGTGAGTCATGAAAATTTGTGAAATAGACCAAATGTATTTGAATTGAGTGATCAAGTGTTACTCAAGTTATCTCTATATAGAGGAAACATTCATCGGGGTCACATCTTAGGTGGGAAGTTGAATCCATGTGTGCTGCTTTAAGTAAATAATTGGGTGAAAAAGTGGGTCTAATGTCACTCAAAGAGATCAAATTAGACAATGATATAAGATTGTTTGAAGAGCCTAAAGAAATTATAGATAGGAAAACACAAAAGTTGTATAGAGAAATAATAGACTTGGTACTTGTCAACTTGAAACATTCGTTTGTGTCACTTCATACTGTGGAAGTAGAGACGGAGATGAAAGCATGTTATTCACATCTCTTCAAAGAATCTACAATTTTGATGATAGAATCATCATAAAAGAAAAGTAATTATAACATCCTAATTCTTGGAAAATCATTTTTTTGATAATTAAGACAAAGAACATAAAGAAAATAATAAAATAAATATTTAATAATTAATAATTTATACTTTTAAAGTGTTAAAAAGCTAAATTTGAGTTAATTTAGGATTTTTAGTTTAAAGAACAAACTATCGAACTCATGGAACTTATATCCAACTACATTGAAAAAGTTTTCTTATGAGGTGTTTTTATCCTAACGCAAGGAGGTGTTTTTAGCCAAACTTAAGGAAGCGTACGTACGAAGGATGGCATAAAGGAACTAGAGAGCAAGTTTATTTCCTTGAAAAAGTAGGATGTGACAATTGAACAATATTCTACTCAATTCTTAGAGTACATAAGTTTTGTTACTCGGCGTATGTCAGGCGAATCTTCTAAGATAAGTCAATTCATAGAAGGTTTACCTTGGGATTATCAAGTGCAAGTTAATAATGCAACCATTTATATGAGCCTATTTGTATGAACAAGAAAACGGAGAAGACCTTTAGTTTGAGAGACAAATGAGAAAAAAGAAAGAATAATGGAAACACAAGTAATACCATTAATCGAAAGAAAGGAAGATTCAAGAGTGATGATAAAAAAAGACAAGTAACAAGGAGATGATCTCATATAAGAATTCATATGTTTTAAATGTGGTGAAAAGGGTAGAGTACTCGTATGCTATCTCAAGTCAAAAGAATATAAGTAGGTGTATGGCTCTTATTCCTTCTTTTAAGCTCGCATACCCTATTCTTTGTATTGTGTCTATGTATTGTCAAAATTTTCAAATATATTATATTCTTGTTGTGCAAGTATCGTTTCCATCATGACTTTGAAACCATTTAGTAAGTTTGTTGAGGACAAATCTCTACTTTCTCTTTTCTCATTTTTTTTTTTTCTATCCACTAGGCAATTTCTTTGAAATTTTCCTTCATGTGAGACACTAAATTTATGTATCCATTCAAATTCAGAAAGGTATGTTCGACCATCTACTCCTTTGTCTTTCACTTATCTTCACTACATACTAGAGTTGTTGCTTTTCTTTCTCTTCATGTAAATCCATCATCTCCATTAAAAATCTACATATTTTATATTTTATCTTTTACTAGATTTGGAAAGCGGAGCTACATGGTTCAAAGGGCACAACAACATTTGTAAAATTTTAGTAATCAATTTTAAATAGACGTTTAAATAGACGATAACATCAATTATATATATATATATATATATATATATATATATATATATATATATATATATATATATATATATATATATATATATATATATATATATATACACACACTAGTGAAGCGAACAAGTCGTGCTAAGCACGATTAATGAAACATGGCAGTACTCACCAACTCTTTTACATAGGTAATAGTGCTTCTTTGATCGACAAATCCATGAAATAACAAAATTGATTTTTCATTAGTAATTTAGTATTGCGCCCAAACCAATTTTGGTCGTGAAACTTTTTGCTGAAAATTTGTTAAGTATTATTGTATTAATGATATCTATTGATACGTGCATGTTTAAAACTGTGATGGTAGTAATGTAGTATGGATGTGAATTCATTATTCTTTTTGGATAGACATGTGGCATTAGATTTGCCCAAGGAAACAACATACTATTGTTTATTTGTGTATTATATATTTTATTTCTTTCTATTACAACATTGTACCATGATTCTATATGCTCTTAATAGCAATGCAATTTTATTTTCTTACCTATAATAGCAATGTACTTTTTTTCCACAAACTACCCTCCGTGGGTCGTGCTTAGCACGACTTGTTCACTTCACTAGTATATATATATATATATATATATATATATATATATATATATATATATATATGCATTCTCTCCAATAAGATGAGCAACCATTAATGGGAATCAATACAAAAAGGAGGCGGTGGCTATGATAATCAGTTTAGGGGAAAATGAAATTAGGAGGGAAATACTTTTTTTTTTTATGGAAATAAAAAAAATTACTTGTGAAATAGGAGATAATAAGATAATTTGTGTCTCTAACTAATGGATGACCCACTAGTTGTAATGAGTTGATTAATCCTATATTTTTACACCATTTTTGTAGTTGTTTGTTACATAGGGGCCATTTTTGTAATTTCTCTAAAACAATGAGATGATTTTGGAAAATTTGCTATTAAGCAGAGGCTATTTTTATAATTGTGTGAAACACATGAACTATTTTGCTATTTTACTACTAGGCAGGGATAATTTTTGTAATTTTATGTGTAAATTCATTATCAGCAAAGAGTACATATGTAAATTCCTTATTAGTCATGGGCTATTTTGTACTTTTATGAAATATAGGACTGATTCTATAACTATTCTATTAAACATGGACTATTTTTATAATTTTCTGACATGCAGGGACTGATTTAATAATTTTATGAAATATTGGATGATTTCTGAAAATTCCACTGTTACGTAGAGAGCATTTGTGTAGCTTTATGAAACATAAGGGCTATTTCCATAGTTTCTTTATGATAAATTATATAATTATATAATTTCATAAAAACAAAGAATATTTAAATATGACCATTTCTGGAAATATTGCAGGACTTCCTAAAAGTTACCCTTTTATTGATATATTTGATCATGAATTTTGAGTTGAGAAATGAAATGATATATCAAATTATTTTGAAATATATATATTTTTTATTAAATAATTGAAAGAACTACCATTATGGTAATGTAGTGGTGATCATTTTGGTATGATATACTTTGAAGTTTCAACTGGAATTGAGTCATATTTGAATTATAAGCTTCAATCTTGTGATATCCGGTTGTTCAATAAAAAATTAACTATGAGTAATTTATCAATATATTAGATTTCTCTCTAAAAAAGGAAATTATACAAATCATCGATCGTGAAATCATCGATCCTGCATAATCTACAACTTTTGTCCCTAAATTTTTTACTTGTCTCGTTTTTAAGGTAACTAGGTGTGAGACTGATATATTATACGAGTTGATTTGAAAAATGATTAAACTTAAAGTATAAAAATAAAATAATTTTTAATGTACAGCTTTAAAATAAGAAAGAAAGAAACGTATTCATTACAATTTAATATCATATATATGATATTTAATATTTTACATATATAAGTATATAACTTTAATTAAAAATTAAAACAAACTAAAAATTAACAAGTGGATAATATTTATTTTAAAATTACCACAAAATGATAAGTGTCAAAACTCATGAGAAATTGACAAGTGGTAAAAAAAGCTTCATTTATTAAGGACTTTTAAAAGGTATAAATTTAAATATGAAACAATTTTATAAGATTACCGTTTTGACTTTCAATCATATTTGTGTCTCGTATCTAGATTTTTATACCCCCACTGGATCGAACTTATGGTCCGACTACCAGTTCGGCAAGTCGGAATTACTTCAGGGGACACTTGCTTCAAGATTTTTTTTATAATATGAATATTTTGTCTAGTGGCTAAGAGAGACTAATGTATTTGTCTATCATTGGATTTGGTGGGATGTAATAACTCATAAATAAACATTCTATTT